TAACCCAAGTGGGCGGCAGAAATCAAGAGGAAAGGCGCGCCACAAAGACAGCTGGGTGTCATCGCTAGCCACCAAGGCCTCTGAGGTCCCTTACCCAAGTCAGGCTTGGTGAGGTTTCCTGAGCTGACATCATGCTCTGTCCTTCGAGTTCTGATGAAGTCACAAGTCAGGGACCACAAGCCTAGAGCTCATGCCTTTGGGGCAGCCTCACTCCTGGGTCTTCAAGCCTCTCTATAGCTAAGTGCGGAGTCCTGAACCCAACCCTTCCCCACAAACTCTCATCACTTACCAAAGCTCTCAGACAGGGGTAAAGGGGGAACTGCTCAGCATCTCCGCCTCTCAAAAAAGCCAAGCTCCACTCTTCCCGCCTCAGGCCACATGCCTCTCTCTCCACCCTCAAGTCCCTCTCCAACACGGAGGTTTTGAGAAGCTCCTGTCTGCACAGGCTCAGGGGGGAGCACTGTGGTCCCTCAGGGGAGCACAGGGGGCTGCCCCTGGTGCCAGGTAGGAAGTTCACGTATCTCCTGTTTTCTAGGCGTGAAAGTCTCCCCAAAGCCCTCGGCCAGGACTTCTCTACAGCGCTGGCTGTTCTCTGGGAATTGGCTGATCCTGCCTTTCTCCTCTGCCATGAACAGTTCCAAATCCCCTTCTAAACTGGACCTGCACAGGCCTGGAGGCCTCTGGCACAGAGTCTGAGCCATCAGCATCCTCTATGTCCCTGTAGGATCTGTACTTCTCGGAGCTCCTCCTGCCTCACGGGAGCCAGCACGCCCCCGGCAAAGGCTAGCTTCCCCATTCTCCCCAGTTCTCCCCACCCCCCTACCACCCCCGAGCACGCAGAGCTCCTGACAAGGACTTCACATCCACCTGGAAGTCAAGGGTGGTGAGGAAGATCTAATCCCCTTGGGGACACAGCCAGACATTTTGTGACAGGAAGGGGGACCGTGTCCTGATGGAAAGGGACACAAATGCAGAGGTCTTAGACCTTATCCCCCCACTGCAGGCATCTCCCTGAGCAACAGCTTTAATCCCCAGGGGAAACTGAGGTCACGTTATGGAAGTTTTACCCACTCCCCCCCAAGTACAAGGAATGAGGATGAAAATTCTACGCACATGGGCCTCAGAATCCTGATGGAATGTCTGAATCACCCCCAGAAGCAGACAAGAGACCTTATCACTTGCCAGGACATCTTCAACTCACTTTCAGGTTCAAGTAGGACTGAAGGAGGCAGCTCACTGAGCTCTGGGAATATACTGTCAGATTTAGACTGAGATTTTCTTGGGAGGTGGGAAGTGCAGGGGGCGGTAACAGATCTCTAAAGGGAAATGCACAACCAGAACTATGCGGGGAGAACTGGAGGTACATGCAGCCTCATGGGATATCAGCACTACAACGGGAACAGGCTGAGTGGGCGGAGCTAGCAGGGCTCTGAGTGGGCAGAGTAGCAGGGCTGTGGGTGGGCGGAGCTAGGAGGCTGCTGAGTGGGCGGAGCTAGGAGGGCTGATGGATGGGCGGAGCTAGGAGAGCGGGGAGCACAGCTCCTGGCCGCCTCATTGGACAAGTCAGAGCCAACCAGGTTTCCCATGGCTCCCACCATCCTCACTGCCCCATCACCCTCTCCATTGTCACACTGAAGAGATTTCCCTCTGTTCTGCCCGGAGGAGCCTCAGGGTCACAGGTATCTCGCCCCTCCCTGCTTTTCCCTCACTGCTACCCTGGCTTTGCTGTCCCTTTCAGTCACTCTGGCAGCAATGTGTGAGTCTAGCTGGAGCTCAGACTCAATAAAACTGAAGGAACAAAGGCCTGCTGCCTAATCCACATCTGGCATCATCCAGGAAGCTAAACAGCAGTGACGTCACCAGAGCTGAACAGCAGTGACATCACTGGCCGTACCTGCTCAGCCCTGGGCTGTCTCCATGGCATCACGCCCTCCCTTGCACCTCACTCCTGAATCTGAGATGCTTCAGCCTCTGCTCATGCCTGGGCTTGACCTGCAGGAACTAGGCTGAGCCAGCGGAGGTGTCGCAGCCAGCCTGGTACTGTGCTGAGGTCACACCCGTGGCTGGGGAGGTGGAGGTGTGGATGTGGCTGCCGGGAGCTTGGCTGCAGAAAGGCATTCCCACACAAGAAGGGAGGGACGGGGCAGCCCAGAAGCCAGCTTCTCGACCTCCAAATTAAATATGCTTGGCATCTGCTCTTTCCGCAGGTGAGAAGCACATGACTGAGCTTAGACACACCAAGAGGTCTCTGAGTTGGGGTGAAGAAAGCTCATATGGGAGCGGGAAGTCACTCCCTCCCTGTCTGAAGCTGCTCACACTTGCCCAGACCTGGGCAGCCTCACCTATCATCCTGAGGATCAGGGGTACCTCTTCCAATAAGTCCTCCTCAGTATCGAAGGTGCCACCATTGTCTGTTTGGGAGTCTGACCAACTGCAAACCAGGTGATTTGTCTTAGATCTAAGACCAGCCACACTTTCAGGGGCCACTGAGTGCTAGAATGGGCAAGAGAGAACACTGCAGGCATTCTATTCTGGGGAGTCTTTAAAATCACCCTGTTCGGGTGGCTCCAGAAGTTTATCTTGGCAGTGGGGGTAGGGGGTATGACTGGGGAGCCCCCAGAATGTCAAAGATGGGCTGCTCTACAAGGCAGTGGAGCACTCAAGAAGACCCGGTATCAGTCCTGGTTCTTCTGCTCAAAGCTGTGAAAGCCCGGCTACTTACTGAATCTCTCTGAGCCTCTGCTTCCTCGTGGGGAAAATATGCCTGACTTTGAATAGTTCTCCAGAAGTCCCCATCATGATTCTCACTAACGCTCCACAGGGGAGCCCGGTCTTTGGAGCTTGGCAACCAGTTCGAAGGTCTGGCCACATGACCCTCGGGACAGACTCAGGTCCTCTGCAGAGTATGTCCCTGACAGGCTGCACCCCTGATTTCACCACTGACCTATACCTTCCTAAGGGCACCGTGAGTCCCTCAGTCTCCAAGCTTCAGGGACTAGGGCTCAGCACCAGCGCCTCTCAAGCACCTGCTCCAAGATGAAGACTCAGAGGCAACCACACTGGGTTCATGGCCCTTGTCAGCTGGGAACCTCGGCCTCAAAATCCCACAGGGCCAAATGTAAGCGTACATCCCACAAAGATGCTGAGAAGTCCTGTGGGTGAGATTCCAAATCCGGAAGGGGAGAAAGCTGCAGGTTCTGCTGGTCCCCTGAACCTCCCTGCACGAAGCCAACCCAAGACCCGCCTTCTGGGCGGAGGTCAACTCGCCAGGCCTGCCCTGTGCTGGCCCTCACTGCCCTGGAGCAGTGGGGAAAAGGCCGTGGAACTTCAGGACCCAGCAGGAAAACACGGAAAACAAGAGTCCTGGACACTAAACGCTGCTTCCCAGTCTCAGCTGCGCCGGCATCCTGCCCAGCGACTTCTCCTCGCTTCCCTGCCATCTGCCATAGGCTCCTCCACTGCTGCTTTACTTTCTCAACTCTCCTCCGACTGTCACTGGCAGCACACGCCTTGTACATTACAGGCAAAGGAGCAGCCACCAGACAAGAACTCCCACGCTTCCTTACCCCCAAACCTCTAACCCCCATCTTTGCGTCTCCCTTCCTGCTACAGCAGGAGAGCTCTCCCTCTGTGTAGCTGATGCCACCCCCGAGTACGATGCTTTTCCCTCTCGCCTTCTCAGGGACCATGTCTGTTCACCGTCTCTCCTGCCATGCACTGACAGGCTCTGTGCATAGGAACACAACACAGCTTATGTCCTTCTCCTATTAATAACGAAATGCTCCTTGACCCCATGCAGCCCAGAGGTTCCAAGGATAGTCCCCATCCATGGGGCATCTCTGTCCCAACCCTGGAACCACGGAGAACTAGAGAATGTAGAGCTGGGGCAACCCCTTCCCCAGGCAGCTATAGAGGAGAGAGGCTTCCATTTGGAGGTGGGGGGGGGGGCTCAACCAAACTAGACTTAAACAGATTGAGTGAAGTAGAAAAATGTATCGACCTAGCCTGAGCAGTTCCCTGTCTGCTTTCCACCTTGAGTTCACCCACCTTACCTACTGTCTCACTATTACTTCCTAGGTAAACTAACTCCAGCCAAGCCTCCTGAGGCCCAGTGGAGGGTCCAAGTCCAGCCAGGAACCTGTCCCCAGGCCCCGACCTCCACTCTAGCTCCACATCTCCCACATACAGAGTCCCTTCCTCCTAAAAGGAGGATATTGTAAGTTACAGAAAGCATTTCACCCTTCTACCTGTGTCAGGGCCCAGAAACCAAGAGCAGGCACACATGCCCAGCCAGCATTCTCAGTAGGACTCCAGGGCTCTTTGGCATTCCCCTTCTGGCGGCCCACATGAGACCTGCCGTGACAGTTTGGCCCACCTGTGTGTGGATGTGTGTGGGGGGAGGTGGATGTGGGGGTGGGGGTCTGAACGATTAGCAGGGTGGCCTGTCAGCCTGTAGCCCATCTTCCTCTGGGCAAATCACCTCCCTAAGATCCACAGGGAAGAGTCAAAACCACTCCCATCCCACTGGCTTGCTGGTGCACCAAAGATAAAGGATCCCTCAATCCCACTGCCAGATGCCCCTACACATCAGCTCTGAAGAAAGATCTCTGTAAGTCTAGGCTGCTAGGATAAACACAACAGTCCCTTAGCCACCAAGGAGGCAAGCATCACAGTGGCCTGAGTAGCATCTGGGGGAGTCAGGTCTGAACCTTGCTTCTGCCTCTTGTGCTGTGTGACTCTGGGTGAACCACTCAACCTCTATGTGCCTCTAAATCCTTCTTAACACTTCACACTGAATGCACTTGACCTATCTAGAGGGGTCTCAATAAAAGCAAACAATGAACAGATTGTAATTACCTTTGCAAACAGGACGAGGCTAAGATACTTCTTTAAAAAAGTAACAGTAAAATAGGGGGGGAAATGTGGGTAGCCTGGAGTTTCTATAGCTTTAATTTTTTTTTTTTTTGCAAAATTGCCAAATAAGAGGTCTGATCCAGTCATTTCATTAGAAAATAAAGTGTTTATTAAGAAACTATACACTGAACACTCCTATAAGTCTCTGTGGAAACACAACGCCCCATTGTCATAGCACAAGGTGAGGAAAATGGCAGAATAAAAGATGCTGCGATGGATGAAGCCTGGGAGGCTGGAAATGAGGTAATGATTTACAATAATTAAAAAAACATCATCCTCAAGCTTACTCCTTAAAGCCACACTCAGGAGGAGGTCCTGGCCCGAAGGGTCGGTGGGACAGAATGGGGACTAGCCTGACATGAAGCATGGGGACTAGGAAGGCGGGGAGCTGGGAGGGGCTGGGTAAACACACAGCTTGAGGACCAGGAGAGAAGGTGAATCCCCATGGGGTACTCCGGGCACTCAGGAGCCTGGGAGGCCACCCCAGATGCTGGGCAAGAACTTGGAAAGCTTCACGTTTCTAAACCCCACTGAAGCATCTGCAGAACCAGACTGGGGACCTGACGTGAAGAACCACCATCCACAGGAACCCAGGCACAACACCCTAAGTGGGGCTCTTAACCTCCAGGGAAATTTGCCACAGGCAGAGAACCTGTTGTCTAGCGTGGTGTGTTGCCACCCAAAACTCTGTGGGTTAAGACCACCACGACTGTGTCCTAAGAGCTCCCCAGGGGAGGTCCCCTGCTCCATGCTCTCCCCCATCAAGGGGGCAGTCTGTGCTGACTTCCCACAAGGGGGGCACCATGGACAGGGGTCACTGGGTCCAGCCCAAAGTCCACTCAGTCAACGTGGCAGCAAATCTGAGAGGCGTTTAGGCCCTACCACTGTGCCTTTCCTACCAAAGCAGGGGACAGTCATCCCCTTCCCTCTCCCCCAGTGGGCCAAGTTGAAAATGGGGAAAGCAACGCCCTCTTTGGGAGAGGGTGGCCGCAGAGTAAGGCATGAGTCAAAGCAAGCAAGGTAAACACATATATTGACCAGAGAACAGGATGACACTTCCACTGGTGCCATGAGAGGGGCTGGAGGAGGCCAAGTTTTACTTCTCTTCCCCTTCAGTTCCTCTTGGCCTTGAAATGGTGATTCCATTGGGTTCCGAAAGTTCTCAGAGTCAAGAATAAGTGAAAGTGGGGAAGAGAGCCAATCCCAGGATCATGGACTAGCAGGAAGGGCCTTGGTCCCTGGTTCCCCCGGTCCCTTGTGGTCCTAGTAGGACGGCCAATGCCCAGGCAAGACCTCCTGCAGCCAGCCACGTGTGTCCCAACTGCAGGTCTAGGGGCCAAGGAACGGTCCCGGAGAACTTCCTCCTCTCCGAGGAGTTTTCTAATGCCACACTCACTGTGAGCCATTCCAGAGAGAAGAGGGAGGAAGGGGAAAGTGTGTCCAAAAAAAAATGTATGCTTTTCTCCACCAAAAACAGTATAGAAAACGACTGGCTTCCATTCTCTCCTCTGAGACCTAATCTGGTGCTGACACTGGGGCCTGGCTCCCCCTCCTCTCACCGCGCCGTCTCCACCTCTGCTTTCATCTTTTCCCCACTGGAGGTTGCCGGCGACGAGGTGACTAAGAGGTGAGCCAGGGGGCCCCCACACTTGCGAGCAGGGCACGTGAGGCCGGAGCACGGCTGGGCTTCATCAGGCTTTCTTGTGGTGGCTGGGTTGTTTTTGTAAAGCAAGAGAATGGCTAGCGTGTTTAAAAGATGGTTCCTGGTGCACAGGTTTTTAATTCTCTTTATTGGCTCTAAAGATGGTGGCAGGAGCTGCCTCGGAGGCCAGAAAAAAAGGAGCACAGTGACAATTGGAGGGAAAGGGCAACCCTGCCAGTGGTGGATGGGGGAAACGCCCACCTCATGGTGGTAAAGGGTGTGGGCACCGGTGGCTCATGCAGTTTCTACTTAGCATCCCGGATCCAAAGAGAACAATGCCTAGAGCTTCCAACCTCTCAGAGAGCCCAGTCTACCCAGGTGACATCCAAACAGGGAGGCTTAAAAGGAGTTTTTAAAAGCCATGACGTCCTTTGCTGAAATAAACATTGACATCCTCAACATAGATGCCATGGTTAAGAGGCTTGGAGTGTCCGGGAAGGCTTATTGGATTCAACATAATTTCTCTGAAACCTATAAAACACAAAAACAAAAACAAAAAAACAGAAAAACAGAAAAAAGCAAAATAAAGTAAAAACCAAAACCCCCCCCCCAAAGAAGATCAAAACTAGAAGGGGAAACAGAGAGGGAGCTGGGGAGGGGGTGGGGAAGAACTGGAGATACAGGGACAGATAAATTGGAAATAGCTAAATGAACTGTCAGCAAAAGGAAGGGGAGGAGGAGGAAGTGAACTTAAAACCAAGCATGGCCGGAGGAACTGGAAACACTCCATTTTGCTGCAGTTTCCACTGAACTGAGGAAGGGAAGTGAGCAAAGCATCGGGGGCTTGGCCTTGGCTGGTTCTGGAAGAGCACAGGCAGCCTCGTTTAAGTGGAAACAGCCTCTGATGACGAGCAGACGGGAGGGTGGGACTGGGGCATAAACGCTAGGGTGGCCGGAGGGCTAAGGGGTGGGAGTAGAGTGCTTTCTCAGAGCTGACATTCTCAGTGGGACACTGGGGGGCCGTTTGGAATCCTAGGAGCTGGAATGACATAGACCACCTTTGACCACACCCAGGGGTGGGAGCTCTCCACTTCCAAGCCTACCAGCTCTTTCTCATCGACTTTTGCATCCTTGTCACCAGGTCAGTGGAAGGCTTAGGAAATGGTAGCTGATCTCTCAGCCTCCTCATAATTTCAAATCTTCCAGGGGATGGAACTGCCCGAAGGAGTGGTACTGCTGGCCACTGGGCCTCAAACAAGGAGGACTTCCGTGACAGCTCAGCTCCTTTCTGGTCACACTGCCAAGGACTGAAATGAGGGTGTCCAGAGACGTAGACAAATCTGATCAACCACTGATCAAATCTCCAAAAGGGGGTTTCTCAGTCAACATCAGGTCAAAATAATGGTGGTAAAATGTCCGCAAAGAGTGCGTGTTTGTTTACGTGTGTGTGTGTGTGTGTGTGTGTGTGTGTGTGTGTGTGTGTGTGTGTAGACAAGTGCCAACCTGTCCTGTCAGAAAGACTGTGTGCAGGCAGGTGCCACGGGCAGCTGGAGGTTGGGGATATGATGGGGAGAGGCTGAATTGGTGGCATTGAGACTTTCACCTCCTCCTGATCAAAAGAGGGTGGCGCCATCTTGGGTGTTGGGAGCCCTCCCTCTGCAGGGAGTAGGGTCAGATGTGTGAAGACAGAGGGAACCCTTCCTTGTCTATGTCATCATGTTTAGAGGGAGGCTGTTTCAAGGTGGGACTTTTCTGTGATAGCTTCCCTGTGCGGACCTGGGAGGTAAAGGCTCTCTTGGGTCTGAGGTGGAAGGGGAGGTAGGCTGGTGGTCTGGGCATCCTGCCTAGAAGGTTCCATTGTTCCTTTCCAAGCCATGGTCCCTCGCTGGCCTTTCACACATCCCTCAGCCAGGCCCTGTGAAGCATCCTCCCTTGGATGGCTCCTCTAACCTAAGGGATCTTAGTACCAATCCCACACTGGGCACCTAGTCATTCCCCTAGTCCTCTGGGACATATGGGGACTTAGTGAGGTGTTAAGACATTAAGAGTCAACATCGGTGGGGGAGGGGTCTGTTCTGTGTTCAAAAGTCAAAGGAGGTAACTCACCATGTGACCTTGGGTAAGACACTTCCCCACTCTGGACCTCAGGCTCCTCATATATATAGTGAGTTGATGGGACTAGATGATCTCTATTGTCCTTCAAGTTTAATATCCCATGATTGTCTATGTTTGAAAAGACCCCTGGCAGAAGAGGCAGACATGCGGGAATTAATGGTCAGTATTGAGCCCCAAGCGCAAAAACATGGGGACGTTTTTTTCTTAAGTGCACAATACCAGGAACAGAAGTCCAGGTGTTCCCAGCTCTTGCACTCACACTGCTTTACCTGTAGGGGCACTTGGCTTATTTCAGGCAGAAAATCTAGATATGCTATCCTCTGAGTATGGCACGGTGGCATGAAAGGACTGTAGAAGGGGAATCAGGGAAGAAAGGTCCATCATCACCGGGAACTCTGTCCGGCCCTCTCCCTAACACACTTGCCCCACTACCCTTCTTGGGCCGGGGCACCCTGAACATGTGCCCGTCACTGCTATTCTGGGCCCGTTCCCAGGGCTGGAAGAATGACTCTTAGGACTTGGGTGATAACTCTGAAGGTCCCAAGGCCCTCTTTGTGGCATCTTCTCTCCCACAGAAGAAATTCAGCCAATCTCCAAGAGGGAAACAGCTTGACAAGAGTGAGTGAGGAGGAGACGAGAGGGGTGTTTGGCTCCCTAAAACCTCCCTTGCCTTAGTTAGGGCACAAACAGAACACCAAAAGCCACTGGGTCACTGGAGACCTGAGGACTGTAGCTCCGATGAAGAGATATTGTTAGAGCTTAAGAAATCTCCTTTAGAGGCCGTGCAGCCTCCGTGGGCTCTGGAAGCCTCCATGTCAGATCCATTAAAGGCAGGGCCCAAGCCGGCCTCAGCCCCTGCCCAGGTCCCTGAAGCTGCTCTGTGAACACAAGCCTTTTCCCACATGAGTCAGGATCTGAAGTTTGTTTTCTCTGGAACTCTTTCCCAGGTGGAGCCTTTCCAAGATTCTAATGCTGAAGCCTGATAGCATAAGAGGCACTGCTCCAAAACGCCCCATTCCTCCCCCTCTGCCTCAGAACAACCCCAGAGCAGGAAGGAAAAGGCATCTGCTGGGGGGGAGGGCAGGAGAGACCAGGACCACCATGGACAATGACTGGGAAACGGACGGACTGGTGGCGGGAAGGCCAAATGGGGACAAACACACCTCCAAAGAAGACCTCGCCCGCCTGTGGCCCACGAATCCCCATGTCTTAACCTTTTCCTCCGTCTGTCAACAGCCTTCCCCAAAGTCACACAGCACAAAGTTACTAGTGAGCCTTCTGTAATTCGGAACAGAGCCTGGTCTTCAGGGGCTGCCTAGGTATATGTTTCCTGAGAAGCAAGCCAGAGGCTCTGGGATCATTTGGGGAAGGAATGGGAGCTGTGAAGGCAGAGTCTCGGGGAGGAGAGACGGGGTGCCGAGCACCCCGAGGACTGGATGAGAGGTTTTGGAGCCGATCCCACTGAGCCACAAGCAGGCTACGTCTTCAAGCAGCAAGACGAGGACCAGCTCCTGTGGCGTGCTGCACAGAGGTGGCCTGGCATTCCAAACCTCCTGACCCTCTGACTCTCGCAGATCGCAGATCCCACCCAGCTCCCCGCTCCGGGCTTTCGCCCCAGCCCGCACTTGGCCTTGCAGCCTAGAGGCAACAGCTACCAGCACCTGCAGTGAGAAGGCCTCCCCTGAACCTCCTGCCTACAGCTCTTCATCCCACGTGGGCGTCTCAAGGCCGGTGGGCGTCTCAAGGCCTCCCTTTCCGTCCCTGCTTCTTCCTTTTGTTCTCTGATATGATAATGTTATTACCTGGCTCCAAAAAGTGGTTGAGGTTACGGCCCTGATAAAAGACCCAATGCCAAACGGAGCTCTATTGGATTACTTTCCAACATTTCCTCTTCAAATGTGTTCGCTTATCGTCTGAAAGTTCCTACATCACAGGGACACTTAGCATGTGCATAGCCCTGGCTGTGAGAAAAGCACTTTATTCCCAAGAGTGGGCTGAAATACACAGGAGTCCTGGCGCTCAGGTCATGGGTGGCTTAATAATAGGGAAGTGAAGGAGGCACGGAGCCTTTCAGATCCTTGTCCAGGGAGAGAGTGAGAGCAGGAGGGAGCAACAGGAGAGATGTCGGATGTGGGGAGCCTGCTCTGCACCCCACCCAAGTCAGGAGCATTCTCACCACAGCCCCCCGGCTTTCCCCAAAGGGTAGGAAGAGGTGAAATGTTCTGAACCATGCTGCAGGAAGGCACGGGCTAAAGAAGGGAGCCACAAGAAACACCCAGATAGGATCGCCCTACCACC